CTCATTAATTTAGTTTGATTGCAACATAGAAATTTGTTATGCCATTATGATGTGTGGCTTGACCAATTCATGCTGGATTCATTTATCCACCTGAACCATTTGAACAATCCTACATGTGCCTACTTGTAAAGTTACTAAAAGGAGCACCCTAATTTGGATAAGTCACCTATGAATACAAGAGCTGGATCTCAATAAAAGGCACCCAGCACTACTCAGATCAGTGAAATGGGGGCCTTGCTACTCAGTAGAATGGGAGGGGGTGGGATAAACAATGAATAAAATACCTGGATGGATGTGAACCAGGGAACTTGTGACATGCAGTGCAATTTTCTGCAACTGAATAATTCCCATTCAGACGGTATGTCCACTACAAATGGTACATTTCCCGCCAGCAACATGATGTGAGAATTTTTTTTAAAATTGGCAAGACCGACCATATGCAATTGTGACTTTATCAGTGGCCAGTTATCCACTATTTAGGGAAAAAGACATTATACTCAATAATGATGGTGTCATACTCTATATAGCAACACAAAATTGATCAAACATAGCATAGCATTCCATACCACAGAAACTCATTGATTTTAGAATCCCTACATTCTCTTTGCCTTACAGATCCTTTACAACAAGAAAATAATGAGACACGTGGAAATTGAGCAAAGTACTAGGGCAGGCTCCAAATGAATTAATTTTTCCACAAGGTCCTTAAATTTCATTGATAGCAAAGACTAGCTGGGCCTGAGGGGACATTAGAAAATATTTTCCATTACTAGCTCGTCAATCACCGAATCTCAAAACAGAGGTCAAAGTAGAAATAAGATCCAAATCCAATGGACTGTATCTGTTGTGTTACATTTCGGTGGAAGACCACAGGACTGAACAGTCTTTCTGTGTCCGTCCATCTGGCATATAGTTGACAACCTGCATTCTGACAATTTGGTTGAGAAACGTAATGTTATATTTCAGTTATTCACAGGGACTGCGCAGTTTTGGAAATGCCAGTACTTGTTGTCCATCTCTAACTGCCTCTGAGAATCTAGAATGAAGCGCTAGCCTAATGGTAACCAGGGTAACAACTGCCTATGGTTGTAAAAACTCATCTGATTTACTAATAGCCTTTAGGGAAAGAAATGTGCCATTCTTACTAGGTCTGGCTACATGTGACTTCACTCTGGCCTGCTCGTGACTTCACACCCACAGCAAAGTGGATGACTCTTAACTGTCCTCTGGACAATCAAGAATGAGCTTTAAATGCTGGCCTAGCCAGTGATGCCCAAATCCCATGAACAAATAAAAACTCTGGGGTGAAAGAACGTTCACAGTACCGCTGGGGAGAAAGTTCCAGGATTTTAACATTGCAAAAAAAAAATGAAGGCACAGCAATGCGTCTCTTAAGAAAGAATGTGCATGTCTTAGACGGGAAATTTGCAGGTGCTGGTGTTCCCGAGATATCTGTTGCCTTTGACAGTGGAACTCAGCGGTTTGGGAGGTGTTGCCTAAGAAGCTTTACTTAGTTGTTTCCAATTATAGTGGATGTAAAGTCTCTATTTTGACATGTGGCCCAATGACAGTAAATTCCCAGAGACAGATGGGGAAAGGAGGAGAGCTTGTATTCTTCTAATTTCATTACAGTTCTGATCCAAGACCTTACTTTGACCAGCAAGTGTGACTTACACAGAATCCAGAGCATTCCAAGAATCTGATACTTTGCTGATTAACATTTTTTGCTTTTCTGTCTTTTTAACTCAGTATTATTGTCATGACTGGTTAACACCCAAGACACGTTATTCACAAATATTAAAGTCATACCTGGGGTCCTTAATAAGGAGAGTCTGAATGAAATCTAAAGCCAAATTGGAGATGCCATCAAAGATGTCTTCTGAGTAATCGATGTCCACTTTGGAAATATTGAGATACGTGGATTGCTTGTCATCTCCAAGGAAAGGTGAAATGCCTGTCAACATGACGTAGACCAACACCCCAATACTCCTGGAAAAACAATCAACAATAAAGCATAATGGAACTGTCATTCTTCACTTGAAGATGAGCCAATCCTTGAAGAAAACGCATGACCCACAATAATAATCCTGTTTCCAAATCAGGGTAATGAAGAAGTCAAATAATTCAACATCACTGTTAACACTACAACTTTGGTGGAGGCAATTTCCACTTGGCTGCAAATGTTAAATCCATGTGGAAAACTACACTGAAAGGTCAGGAGAAACATGTGACTTGAGTGGTGCATCCATCTTCTGCCAAGGTTATGGCAGGAAATTGGAGGAATGGTATGGAATGTTCAGGAAAATCTGTAATGGAACCTTTTTAATGATGCCAGTTCCTTAACTGACTGCTCATTGTGAAGTGTTGCGCTTGCAGAGAATTCTGGTCAGGGCATCAAGGACGTTCAATTTTTTAATTTTCCATCAAGCGCTTTGAAGTTTGGGTGTAGTTAGTACAAAAGCATTTGTTAGTTGAGTGGCTTTGCTATTTTGTTTCTTAATTCACTTACACCCAGATAAAACATATGATGTGGGATATGGTAGCCTAGTGGAATACTGACCCTGAGCCTGGACTCATTATATGGAGTTAGGAGTTCAAATCCCACCATGGGCAGATAATGATCAATTACTGGATTACTGTAAAAACCCATTTGGGTCACAACTGTCCTTTACAGAAGGAAATCCACCATCCTTACTGAGTGTAATCTACAGTGTGACATCATAATATGGTTGATCCTTAATGGACCAGCAAGCCACTCAGTTGCATTTATGGCTAAATTCACCACCATTTTTGAGGAACAATTAGAGATGGGCAATAATGTGATGCTCACATCCAGGGGATGACTTAAAAACAAAATACCGACCTTCCATTTTTGGCAACAACCCATGTCCATTGGTATTATATATCTGAGACCAGGTACACTTTGTAAATGATTTTCAATTTGCATATTGGTCAGAAAATACCCCTAAAATCTACACCCACCAATACTGCGAAAAAAAAGCACTTACCACATATCTGTCGCTGTTGTGATTGCCTCGTAATTTAATATTTCAGGAGCTAGTGGAATTGAAAAAATTATTAGATATCTTGAAAGTTTGATTATCTGTTGTCTATGCATACTTGACTAACTATTTAACACTTTTAAGCGGTTTCACTCTGCACAACATGATTCAATTAACATACAAGAATTAAGTTATTTCTAAACATATTACCTACTGTAAATGTAACGTATTATGCTGGCTGAATTTTAGGCAAACATACATTATTTTAATATTAATTCTTAAAATGTACTTTTGCGGACTGGAAACAGTTCTGTGAAGAAATGTGTTGAGAGCTGGCACTTACCTACATACTCTGGGGTGCCCATAATTTCCCTAATCTCTTCAACACTGTCCACTCTCCTGGATAGCCCAAAGTCAACGATTCGGATATTGCCCAATGGATTGCAGTTGGTCAGCAAGATGTTTTGAGGCTGAGAGGGGGAACAGAACAGAAATAAAGCTCTAGTACGTGTTCACTGATTTTCAGGTTCAGAACATAAATACTATCAAGAACATAGAACATGGGTTCTTAAATATACAACTGCTCTACCAAACTATTATATAGTATGAGCACATTGACATGAATACCATAGTCAAAATTTTGTCATTTCCGAGTTTATAAAGATTATTTGCAACTAATAAAAGATGGCATAACATCAGACTTAGCAACTTTAATTAGGAGAGGATATTCAAGAGAAATCTATTTATTTCTTTGTTCTCAGAATGTAACATTAAAAGTCACACTTATTGCCCATCTCAAGTGACTCTGGATTTTTAAAAATAACTGCATACCTTGCCAGACAACTTCAGAGAGCATTAGCAGTCAATCAAAAGGCATGGGCTAGAGTTGCAAGTAAGCCAAAGAGGCTAGTGTGCCCTTTTCCCTTACCAGTGAAACATTAGTGAACAAGTTTGGCTTTTATAACAATTCAGCAACTTTACATCATCATTTCCCTTCTGCTGCAGAGAATCAAAGCATCACACAAACGAGGAGGAAACCATTCTGCCCAATGCACTCATTTTTAATCTTTCCAGTGAGACCCACTCCGCTGTTCTTTCTGCATCTAATTTTTTGTCCATTTTATTTTTATTTCAAAAATTATTTCTGGGCTTACTTTTTTCACTCTTTCAGGCAGTAGGCTACAGATCACTAGAACTCACTATTTTGAATAAAAAAGGCATTTCTCCTCTGCTTCTTTTGCTGGTTATCAGATTTACAGACTGAATTTCACAACTTGCCCTTGTGAGGTTTGGGCTGCTGGTCCAGTCTTGTAACCCATAGAGCATCAAGGGCATCTTAACAAAAGAGCCTCAGTTCAAAGTGAATTTCTAATTACAAACAGAGCAGTGAAAGAATGGGTAAAGTGTGCTAGACACTGATTGAACTGGATCGTACGAGAGCAATGATGACAAAGTGCTTTGTCAACGACAAACTTGATGCATATTGACAATTATTTGTGTTTAAGGGAGCACATTCTTCATGAACAAAATGTTTGGAAATTCTTTTGTTGTTTACTATCTCAACGTGATGTTGCAAGCTTCATTGGAAACAAAAGATTGTGCTACTTATGTCTCATGTAATCACGGTCAAAATGATCAATATTCCTTCTGGATCTTTTGTCGTCCTGGAATTATGAAATTTTATATTTTGGGAGAATTAATAGAATGGGCTGCAGTGAAAACAAAAATGTTCTGAGGATCCAGCATAGGATGTTAACAAAATAGAGAAGCACATGCAAGTTGAAAGATTAGAACCCCAAAGCCACTGACAACGTCTTGTGAATTTCCACTTTGCACATGATGGTGTTGCATATGTTAATTACACCATAATGCAGTTCTACTTTACTTGAAAGAGACCTGAATCTGACCCATTAGTTCAGGGCATCGCAGACTATAGGTCGTGACCCTCACTGGAGTTGTGAAGTGACATTTTGCGGTTGAGAGTTCCAAGGCAGCCATGGCTACTGTGACCTCGACCAAGAATTAACAGCTGAGGTCTGTTTAAATCCTCGCCTCTTTTTAAAAAAAAAAATCATCGGACAACAGATCAATTTTTAAGGTTAGATTCCTGTTCCACAAAACTAGCGAAAGACAGGATTGCAAAAAAATAAAATGTCTGAGGGTTAAGCATCTTGTCTTCCTGCCACATCCCAACTCTCAATCCTCTATCGCAATTTTCAAGCTTCGAAATGGACTCTCAGTGGGTAAGCATTTTGAAAGCACTGCTCTACTTCATTTGAAACATCTGAATAGGAGATGAATTCAGAGCCAGTCTTTCACTCATTCGAACCCTATGCTGTTTGCTCTCAAGGTGAATTTTCTTCAACTAATGACTGTCAAATAAAGTAAAAAGAGTCACAATAGAATTAAATTCCTAATTTAGATTAAATTCCAGGTATATTGTCAATTTTAAACTAACATGAATAAAAAGTCATTCTTAATTGCAGCAATACAAATAACATGTAATGAGCCAAGATAGGAAAACAAATGGTCGGTTGTTGACTCCGGTGTGCTGCATCCATACTGTTGACCAGTCAAGACTTGCACATGTACAAGCAGTTGCTGAACAGTTACCACTAACAAAAAAACCAAGGAATCAGCAGGTAATTACAATCTGGCAAGTATCCCATGGAACCTCAGGTAAAATTCACAATCCACTTAGCCATAGATGAAATGATATGAGCAGGCAGCAATCTTGTAAAGTTAGAGAGAGTCAATGTGGCGTCGTGTTGTACAAATGTTTCATAATGTATCATAATGTAGATAGTTAAATCTATCAATTAAGTAACATGTACAAGCAGGTACACTTTCAAGCCTTGATTGATACACACATGTAATCCCATAATATGATGTTGTGGGTTGATGTCCACGTTACATAAACTTAACCAACATCATGTAGGTATTCACCACAAAGTCTGGACAGCAACACCTGCCCTCAAAGTGTCCATAATTCTCAGATGTATACCAAGAGACTTCCTAAACAACACCTCAATCTCAGCAGCTTTTAAGTTGCTGGAATGGGTTCCTGTCTTCTTTGGTACAGCCCAAGCAAGAATCATACAAAAACACATCAACCGTTTGCATAATTGCACATAAAGGTGCAGAGGTGATGATTTTACTCAAACCACAGAATCAGTGCCTGTGCTTTCTGGTTGTTCAGAATTGGCAGCAATGAACCCTAGATATCAAATTAATCCAAGTGTAATATGCTGAGGAACAGCCTCACCTTTAGGTCTAGATGCACTATATTATTCCGATGCAAGTAGGAGACTCCATCTAGGATCTGACGCACAAGACGAATGACATCTTTCTCTTTGAAGGCCTCATCTTTATCAGCAACACACTGGTTAAAGATTTCTCCACCTGCAGCACTGTAAATGGGGTAAAGTAGAGTAATCATTAACATTAAGCTTACTAAGTGAACGAAGCAAGATCTAATATGGAAGGTATTAGGAGCATTTTTCACAACCGTACCATCCTCCCCCCATAAGGGATTCAAAATTCCTTATGTACAGCACAGATACTGAAATGCTTTGATGCCAACTTAAAATGAAGTACTGAACGTTTATCACTTGTTAAGTTACTATTAAACTTAAAGTATGTTAGTAAACTTGGCAAAGGAGTTATTTTTTGATTCTCCAAGGTGGGATGTCTGATTCTGATATAAGCTCACAATATTTCTCTACCCACTGTGTAAACCTGTGAACATCACTGATACAGCAGCATCCTGTCAACATACCAAACAGCTAGTGTCATAAACAGTAAACGCCAGGCTTAGATGCTTTAGCACACAGAACAGTGACAAAGGTGTATTTTACTTCATCAATGGAAAACAAGCCACACCCTGTACTTTAAAATGTGGATGTGGAAAAACTGTCACACCTTACACTCCCCATGATGCTAACTGTTCCAATTAAGCAAAAGATGTGTCACCACAAACATTGTTCAGCTACCTTGTCATTATTGGAGTGGGCAAAACTATTTTAATGAACATTGAAAAGTTTATGTCTATCAGGGGCAGGATACAGAAGCAATTTGTAGAACTATGTTCTTGCGAACTATTAAACAGGTGAGTACTTAAACATACTCTTCAAGGCCATGATCTTAGCTACTTCCACTCCATCAATGATACAAAATTTTGAATAAAATAACTGAAGACAAGTAGTACCTCCTGAAAGACAGGGTCTGAATCATCCATCAGTATTTGTGCAAGCAAGTAGTGCATTTCATTTTTCAGGAATTATTATTTGTAACTGATTTTATTCAACTTATTGGTGTTGTTCTGTAAAGTGCCTCAAGCTGTTAACCAATATTTTGCTTTGCTTGAATTACCAACTAATTACGGTGAAACAAAAGACTTCTGTAAATTTTTGCTTTCTCTTATATGTTCTCTTCTCTTTCACGCACCCTGACAAAACCTCCCCCTACACAATGAACGAAGGAGAACTTCAGAAATTTTGATTACTCTGGCCAACAATAACAACTATATATCTGAAGGCCACACAGACATAAGATGCACATTCTAAAATACTTCGGGCAAAATTTAAGAAACAAGACATTTTCATGGGAACATCAAAATAGGGGAAAAAGAGGGTTATTTTTATTTTGATTATAGACTGATTACGTCCTTCCGAATTGCTTGGCAGCTACTAGAGGAATTTTTAAAAGTTCTGCAAGATTAGTATAATGATAGGTAATTATATACATGCCTTATTGAAGGAATTAAGGCGTTTGCTAATGCATGCCATGGTCAAAAAAGGCAATATCCTACTCCATTAGCAACTGATAATTTATTTCCTTTCTAGTGTGGAAAAGAAAGTGTCCACCCTTTTAAACCTTCCACTCCAGTTTGAAACCAATGACCTGATTGCCTGTGGTCCACACAGTTATTGGAACGGGTTAGATAAAAAAGGTGTTGAGGCATTCCGTCAGCTAATATCATGTTAAATAGCAGGGCAGGCTCAAATGGCTGAATGGCCTACTACTGTTCCTATGTTCCTAGGACACAAAAGTCTCCCAGAAGTTTAGATATGCTAATAGTGACAGTGATAGATACCTGGACAATGCACTTTTGGTGATGTGGCAAATTTCAAATCTGACTTACTGATTTCAGTTCCCTTGGCTCTTTGGATCAACTTGACATTGATAACTGAATGGTCAATAATGCAAGCTGAACAAATGCAGACCATCACATCGTGTAACAGGTGAAAATGGAAAACTTTGTTTTAATCATGAACATCTTGATTAACTGTTAAATTGTATATCAAAATCAAGATCAGTGCAATGCTGTAAAAATTAGATAAGCTAACCTTTTTAATGTTTTCTTTATCCAAAAGGACTTTTAACAATTTGCAACATACCGTTAACCTAAATACATGCAAAATGCTCATCTTGATATTAACAGGAAGTCAATCCAGTAATTTTGATGTTAAGATAAGCTCAAGCAAGATACAGACGTCTTTTTGCAGAATGCGGTCTCTTTCCTCACCTGCAAACAGGTACACACACCCATCCAGAATTCAAACCACATCACTGTGACAGTGATGGCTTGGTTGGCAGCATTCTCACTTCAGAGTAAGAGGGTTCTGGGTACAGGTCCAGTGTTACAGCTTGAACACAAACATCAAAGTTGACACTCTCATGCTCTTCTGACAGTATTGCACATTGGACATGCGCGGTTTTAAATGAGAGGGTTAACAGAGGCCAAATTATCTCTCGCCCCACATTCCCAAAATCAGGTAAGAGATCTCCAGCACTATTCTCAAAGAAGGGTAGTTATCCCTGAAGTCCTGGCCAATACTTATCCCTCAAACAACAACAAAAGCAAACTATCTGGTCATTATCACAGAGCCGTTTGAGGAGCTCGCTTTGCACAAAGTGGATACTACAAATCCTATACTGGAACAGCGATGATACTTCAAAAAGTACTCTGTTGACTGTAAAGTGCTTTGGGACGGTGTGCATATTCATGAATGGTGCTGCATAAATGCGAGTCTTTCTTCAACTCACAACATGCAAGCAGCCTTCAAATGGCTTAGACTGACAATTTTGCATCCTGAAACTGGGCATTCAAATCTTATCCAGCATGAATGGCCAACTTGGTGTGACCCAGCTGTTAAGACCCACAGGGATGGATTATTTTATTGGTGACGACTGAGCTATGGCAACTTCCATGTTGCAGTCCCTGGGTCCGTGTGCTGGGAAACTTGCAGTGGGGGAGGTGGGGGGGAATATTCAGGCAACAGAAGCTGCTTGAAACTAAAGGAATGTCACCTGTTCGAAAACGTGATTTCACATCTTTGTAACAAAAATGGTGTTAGGTGCTCTTGCATTTTTAGAATTTCTCCCTGTTATTGTTTCAATTTAATTCAGCACATCTGTCCATTGCGGTGATTCAGTGAATCCATTTCTGAATTTTAAAACCTCCCAGGAATGACCATATGTATTTATTTATGGTCTGGAGATAAGAACAGCCTGTTGTCAGGCAGAGAGACTTGAATTTATATCACACCTTTTGCAGCCAGAAGGCAAAATGAAAAGCACTTTTGAAGTACATTCTTGGTTTTAGATGTAGCAAGTGTAACAGCACACTCCCTCAAGTAGCAATGACCAAATAATCTGCTTTTGTGGTGACTGAGTGAGTGACTTCACAGTGTACACTTTTTGCAGCCAAATCTTTGCTAAGGAATTTGATTATCGTGGAGGAAAGGTTTGTGTTGCTGTCTCCACTTCCTTGATTGGCTTTTGCATGATCCCAGAGGCAAGGATGATCCAAGATGTCTGGGTAGCTGGGCACCCACAGCGGGCACCCCATATTGGCTGTTTCATTGCTTTTGCCCTTTACCACAATTCACTGAGAGTTGCTGATCGTGGCTTATACCATGACATCTCCATGGGGCATGGTGAGATAAACTCCAAGTCACCACAGGGATTGAACCAGTGCTGTCAGCTCTTAAAAAAATTGAGCCAACTAGCTCCAGGGATCAATGTTGGCCAGGATACCTAGGGCACCTTTCTCTTCTTCAAAATGGTGCCAAAGGGACCTCTTATATTCACTGAAGAGGTCAGAGGGAGCCAAAAGATGGCGCCTTCAACACACTGTACTTTACTGTACCTTGATTTTAGTGCTAATATCCTGGATTGGGACTTGAACTCTCAACTTTCTGACTGAGGAGTTAGTTCGAGACCAACTGTGCCACAACTACACTCTCACTCCTCTGATTGTCTCTCGTGTCCTTCTAAGCTAAAACATTCTAACCCACAGGATCCACATCCTAACTGTACTGAAATCTGGGTTCCATTCCATAACCTTCTGCTCAAAACTGGGGAACTCTATATATCCCACAGTCATCCTTTCCTCAAGCTCCTTAAAACCCAGTCATTGAACACTATTGCCCGATTTATGTTGTCCTTGTTTTATTACTAGCTTGGCCATGTCTTTGCTCTACATGAACCTTGAAAACTTGAATAAAAACAAAGTTGCTGGAAAAGTTCAGCAGGTCTGGCAGCATCCGTGAAGGAAAAAATAGAGTTAATGTTTCGGGTCCGGTGACCCTTCCTCAGTCATTGGATCCGAAACGTTAACGCTGTTTTTTTTTCCTTCACAGATGCTGCCAGACCTGCTGAGCTTTTCCAGCAACTTTGTTTTTGTTCCCGATTTACTGCATCCACAGTTCTTTCGGTTTTTATTGAAAGTTTGAAATTGGCTTCTCACTGAGTAAAAATATAAATTTGTCATCTGTCCAGTTCCTCACTTGAAGGCAGGAGGTATATCAGCTTTCCTGATACATGATTGATTTTTTAAGATCTGTATCTCAACACTGCATGGCACAGTACACCAGTAACCCAGCATGGAATTCACCCAGTCTAGTTCCATCTATTTTCCAGTTTCAGATTCTTTACATAAAAAGGGAGCAACTCCCCCAGGAAATAGGCCTAAATTGAAGAAAAATACCACAAAGTGGTTGCACTGAGGAAGACTAACAAACTTCAGGGGGGAAAAAAAAAGTAGTTAATTATAGTTTAAGAAAAGAGCTTTCATAAAATATTTCAACAGGATAAAGTTGCAGACAATATAAAACTCTGTTGCCTGCCATCAAAAAATCAAAAGCACTGCAGATCTTTAGTTCTTGTTGTTTTTGGCTGTGGTTTTTGGTCAGATATAGCTTATCCTGAAATACAGGCTCTCGTTTGTGCAGGGTATTAAGAGATTATTAATCTGCTACCAAGCTGATATAAGTAGGATGTTTACCCAAGGCAGAATTCCTTGGACATTTCATTGGTTGATACGTTGCCATCTTTGTTGACTCAGGAATGTGCATTCTGCGGTATTATAGGCATTTATCTTCGACTTTTAACTTCAGTCACAAGC